CAATAACAGAAGGAAACAAAGGCAGTCTTCTGGGCTTCCATGTAGACCCAAGTTAGCAATCTATGGTGTGTAGGTCAAATCTGCCAGCTGCCTGTTTTAGTAAAGCTTTATTGGAACAGTCATATTTATTTGCTGACATATTATCTATGTTTGCGTCAGCACTGCAATTCCCTCTTGGAAGGAGATGGTCTCTACTGCTTAAGAAATACATGGAATGTAACCAGACCCTTTATGATCTGAGGATTAGAGAAAAGCTGTGCAATTCTTTTATGTGGATTTGCTGAGAGGGCTGGGCTCTGACCTGGAGCGTGGAACTAGAATGAGTAGGATTCCCGGGGCTGACTGGCCTCTTGGTTGGCGACACTGAATGGGAACTGAAAGAATTGCACCCAGTATTGCAGCTGCAGGTGTCCCCAGAGCAGCTCAGTGCTCAAGGAGTGAGTGTGCCTTCCCTGCAGGAGCCCATGCTGGGGTCTGCCCAGGTTCGCCTAGTCCTTGTGGGAGCTAAGTTCCTTCAATCTGGCTGCCTGTTTCTGAATATATCATGGGCCAGCAAGAAGCAGGGGGAGAAATAGGATGCTCACACCTTATCTCCCTCTGCTAGGGCTGTATCAGTTTAGTGAATCACTTTTTCTTCCGGAAGTAAAGATAGAAACAGATCCTTTTTCCTTCAAAATGAATAATGCTGAGGACTCAGCCTTATGTGGTCAAACACATGCAACCTTGAATGCCGCTTTTCCTCATCAGACCCATCAGGGAAGAAAGAAGATCCCTAGCCAAAGATGAGAGTAGCTCAGAGAATGGTATACACAACACGGGTAGAGGAGAAAGGGCTGAACTGCTGTGACAGCCTGCAGGTGTCTCTGAAGTGTTTCCCAACTCTGGGACATCAATGGGGTGCCAAACAATTCAATTCAGTTCTGGTACTACCCAAAATTACTGCAGACTACACAGGTCAAGGGCTAAGTCACTTAAATATGCCCCACTTAGACACTAGCTGCAAAATGGGGTGCCCAAGCTACCCACACTTAGGCCCAGTCAGATTCAAATTTGGGGGGGTTTCCATGATCTCTTCCCCTCCCCCAGATCATGACTCTTAAAAACTCAGGAAAATACTTACATTTGCTAGTTTATGATAAAGGATATTCGGGAACAGCTAATGGGAAGAGATGCATAGGGCAGGACATGGAGTTGGGAACATGTGGAGTTTTCATGTTATCTCCATGTGCCTTACCCCCTCAACATCTCAATGTGTTAACTAACATGGAAGCTCTCCCAGTCTCTTGTAAGACAAGGTCTTGCTTGTCACCTAGGTTGGAGTGCAATGGTGCAATCTTAGCTCACTGTAGCCTCGAACTCCTGGGCTGAAGCCATCCTCCTGCCTTGGCCTCCCAAAGTGCGGCAATTACAGGTGTGAGCCACTACACCCAACCCAAATCTTACTATTTAGGCATTTTAATAGAGGTGTTATTATCTTGGTGGAATTGATTTAAATTATGGCCATAGATAAATAGACTCAAATCGACTCAGTCTCTGGTCCTTCTCTCTTCCCCAGAGGGATCAGTACTTCCATGAGGTGTGAGTTCCTGACAGCCTGAACTCTTACCACAACGTCACACAATCAGATTTGGACTGCCCGGGAATAAGTAAACCATTTATCCTTTACAGACATCCTGCTAAAGACCAATGACACCCAAACAGTTCAAAAACAGAATTGGTCCCTGGACTCAAAATCCCATATATGGTTGACTTTTGTGTTGATTGTCTATAGACGTTAGCTACCTTAGGGGACTGTCTAGAGACCAAAGAAAATCTAGTCTCTACAGTGCTCACATTGAAGGTGATGGAGACTCCCAGAGACCATTGTCTTGAGGACTTCTATCAAGAAAAAAGCTTAAGCCAGACTAACAACCTTGTTTTCTTTGGGCTATGTAAACATCTATAGTTTCCATACAGCTAGTGAGGCTAGAAACGTGACACTTCAAAAGATGTTTCATTTAAAGTGGGTGAGCGAAGTAACTGAGCTTTGCAATGAGAGCTTTGGCTCTTTTGTCCTGCTCGTGAATGGCTAATGTACATGCCATCTCTGTTCAGACAACACCTAATGTGTGTGAGATGATGGATTGGTTTCTGGATAAAGGATAATGGATTTGATCAATTTCATTTGAAATGATCAATGTTTTGTCTAAAGATGAAGCTTTTCTGGGTTAGTGCCAAGGCATGTTCATTGCATTACACAAATTGATTAGAGAAGTCTTAGTCCCTCACACTTGCTATGCTGACAATTCAGCCTGTCAGGGTGCCATTGTGCAGTCGGGTGGGAAGATCACCTTGGCCATATGTCCTGGAGGCCACCTGGCTGAGAGCTCTCTGTACGCAGGTTTCCAGAGGCAAAACTGACTGGTCTATGGGCCATTAATGAGCTGCTAATCAACCTTCCATCTTATAATGGAGTGGATGAATGAAATGAAATAGGAAATATCCTCTTCTAGGCATAGTGGCTCACACCTGATCCCAGCACTTTGGGAGGCTGAGGCAGGAGGGTCACCTGAGGCTAGGAATCGTAGGCCAGCCTGGGCAGTACAGCAAGACCTCATCTCTATAAAACTAAAAGCAGATGCTGTGGCATATACCTGTGGTCTCAGCTACTTTGGAGGCCGAGGTGGGAGGATCATTGAGCCTGGATGGATGGTCAAGGCTTCTGTGGGTGACAAAGTGAGACTCTGACTCAATAATACAGAAGACAGCATGGCAAGCATATAAATCTTGGTATTTTGGGAGTCTTGATCTCCTTAGAAGGACACAGCTGAGTCTTCAAAATCGATGCAATTGAACCTTTTGCACCTGTTACCAGAAGTCCATAATGTGTTGAGGAACATCTGTTAAGGCTACGAGGTTTAGACTGAGAGCTTAAATGGATTAAAAGACGGGATTCTAAACTGGAGTTTACAAGACCCCTAACATTGTGTGAAGTAGTTTGTGTGTCTATGTCTGTACCTCATGGAGGACAGCTCAAGCTTCCCTGATGGGCTTTGTATTATTCCACAAAACAGAATTAGTACAAAAACCTCCCCTTTTCCACTCATATCTCCACTTCTTGATTTTTTTCCTGATTATGTTAACAACTGCTCTTGGGTTGATACCTACTATCAGTCAGAGGATTCTAGTGCTACGCATGGGTGGAAAAAATGAAAAATCCCAATCCACGTTATTGTTGCGGCACCAGTGGGAGTAAGACCTGGGGCTCAGGGTGTAGGTCGCAGGCTTTGTGGGTTAGGTGGAGTCCACAGAACCCGGGAGGCAGAGGTTGCAGTGGGCCAAGATGGTGCCACTGCACTCCAGCCTGGGCAACAGAACAGACTCCATCTCAGAAAAAGTAAAATAAAACGAATGCAATCTGTAACCTCAATGGGTCTACAGTCACTTTGGGGCCTAAATTAAAGAGAAAGCAGGTGCAGTGTCTCACGCCCTGTATTCTCAGCACTTTGGGAGGCAAAGGCAGGCAGATAAGCTGAGGTCAGGAGGTTGAGACTAGTCTGGCCAACAGGGTGAAACCCTGTCTCTACTAAAAATACAAAAATTAGCTGAGTGTGATGGTGGGCACCTGTAATCCCAGCTACTTGGAAGGTTGAGGCAGGAAAATCACTTAACCCAGGAGCCAGAGGTTGCTGTGAGCCAAGATTGCTACTGCAGTCCAGCCAGAGCAACAAGAGCAAAAATCTGTGTCAAAGATAAATAACAAAAAGAGAAAGCAAAGACTTTTTAAGTGGGTTTTTGTGTGTGTGTGTGTGTGTGTGTGTGCCAGGCTCTTAGAAACATACATTCCCCTATTAGTCTCTGAGCAGTCTGAGGTTATGATCATCCACCTCCTCCACCAAGTTTTTTTTTTAACCAGAACATGAAAGCTTATCCTTGATGATGTAGAAACTAAGTGCTAAAGACAGAGATGGGGGAACAACACACCCTGGGGGCTGTTGGGGGTTTCAGTGGGAGGAGAGAGTATCAGGTTAAATAGCTAATGCATTCGGGACATAATAACTAAGTGATGTGTTGACAGGTTCAGCAAACCACACATTTACTTATGTTACCTGCATGTCCAGCACTTCTAGCCCAGAACTTAAAATATAGGTAAAATGATAAAGCATATTTAATAAACGCCATGTACGTCCTTGTTCTTCATACTGGGAGGTTCTTAAGGAATTCTCCGTAAACCCTGGAAAGTCCTTCTAACTTTAACCGAGAGAGGAGGACTGTCAGCATCCCAGGGGTGGAAATATCAGAGGGGGATGAGTAAGAGGGAGCTGAGCAAGGACCCTCTACTTTTTCCCTCCTGCCAGCCATTCTGCTTATTTTAGAAAAAAAGGTTAATTCTGACTAGCATGGTAGAATTTTCAGAATTGAGAGATTTGAGTGGAGTAATACACTAGAATTTCCTTTGTTCTGGAAAGGAAACCGAAACCTGAGAGAAACGGACTCTCAATGTCATCCATACAATTTGTGACTAATGTGTCCCTTTCCAGTCTGACCTCATGTTGACGTGCTTCTAAAGCATCTTTGTCTTGCTGCCTCTTATTTCTAGAATGTCAAAGCATGATCAGGGCTTGTGACTGAATAATTTGCTGTGGAGTAACACATGCTGTGTTTGAATAAAATTTCCACCTTCTGAGTGTATCTTTACCTATTGGATTACACTGAAAGCACTACAAAAGGGTCTGGATGGGGAGAGCTCAGGGAAAGGTCATCCCAAAACTCAGGGCTAGGAAGGAGACCAGTGCTAACTGAACATCTCCTTTGGGCAAAGCCCTGCATTTCACACATCCACATCTCATTCCATTTAATCTTCAGTAATCCTCTGAGCTTGGTACAAGCACACACAATTTGCGGAGGAGGATAAGTTTCTGAGAAGTTAAGACATTTACCTAATCTCACCTGGTCCCTAATTATTGATGGAACCCATATGTGAACTCAATTGGCCAATTTCTACTCTTTGTCCTCTACAGCGGGCTCCCTGCCAGAGTTTGTCATGGAAGATCAGCACACAGGTAAGTTGATCTGAGGATCTGATCTCCAGGGATCTTCCCCCCCCACCCCCCCACCCCGCTATTTCTGTTCCCCTTGGAGGATTCAGCAGATGCCTAGAGTTGGAGAATAATGGGAGGGAGTCATGGTCTTCACATTTGGGAAAATGAGCTTACATGAAATGATGCAAAGGACAAAAATAGTTGACCAGGCACGGTGACTCACACCTGTAATCTCACCACTTTGGGAGGCCGAGCCGGGTGGATCCCCTGAAGTCAGGAGTTCAAGACCAGCTGAAACTCCGTCTCTACTGAAAATACAAAAATTAGCTGGGTGTGGTGGCAGGGACCTGTAGTCCCCACTACTTGGGAAGCTGAGACAGAAGTGATGGAACCTGGGAGGCGGAGTCAAGATTGTGCCACTGCACTCCAGCCTGGGTGATGCAGTGAGACGCCATCTTAAAAAACAAAAGAAAACAAAGAAGTCGGCATTCAATTCATTGCATACATCTGTGCGTTGGCGAAGGGATCTATCAACATTACTATTTAATTCTCCCAATAACCCAGAAAGTTAAGTACCCTAACAATTCCCACCTGTAGATAAGCTAAGCGCTCGTTAACTTGTACCAGTCTGGTAGCTAACTAAGTAAAGGGTCCTTAATTCATACCCGGGTCTGAGTTCTGAGCCTTACCTGGTCGTATTGCATCTGGTGTTGAGAGTGATTATTCTGCTCCCATCAAGTGGTAGGTCACAGAAATCTTTTATTTATGGGCAGTTCAGGCAAGTAAATTTTATTGTCTAATGACACAGCTCTTTTTGTTTAGAGCTGTCAATGTGAGATAACCTCCCATTCTGCTATGTTGGTAGTTACTCATTTACACAGGCATGCTGTTCATTTAATTGTTCAACCTTTTGACCACCATAAAGTTAATCTGATTAAAAAATTCTTCATATAGAAAATTGCTAATAAATACCAAAAGCGCTAGGTCAACAAAGCCAGGCATGCTTGATTAAATATCCATGGAGCTTATGAAATGTCTGCGTAGGTCTGGCGTTTGTAAAGAGACATTTAAGATGCTGGCACAATCTTTGCTGTCATTGGGCTATTGCTAACATATCAGTCTTATCTTGACCATCAACTTTGACTTTTCCCCTGGAAAAACAACTTAAGCTTTCTACATTTGCTACATTTCTGACACCATACAGAATTCATGCATTTTAAGACATACGCTTTTGCAGAAAATGAGACTTTTAAGAGGCTAAAATGATATGAATACTGCATATTTTAAAATCTCTAAAGCAACATAAACCTTCCAAAGGGGACAGGGAAAAGAAGGCTTCAAAGCAGGAGGAATGTACATTAAACGTGAAAGGGGATTTCCTGTCTCTGAGATTGCAGGACAATGTTTGCCAAGAATGTCTTTCTTTGAAGATGCCTGTGAAGAGAGTCGGTTTCTTCTCTGCAGTAGTTTTGGATGCAGGGAAAGAGTCTTTTGAATTTTTACATTTTCATTTCGTATATTCTTAAATCTATTGACTGAGGTCTTTGGCGGTGTTGTATGAATTGTCAGGCAAAAGCAACTTGGTGAAAAATATCTGAAAAAACTGAAAGGAGAAAGTATGAAGTTGTTCTGCTTCTGGTGAGAATTCCCCAATGCAATTTCCACATGTGAATACTACGTTGTGTTCCACTGTTCTGAGGTTGAGTATCCAGTCATATCGACTCCCTGTATTTGAAGTTGTTCTGCTTCTGGTGAGAATTCCCCAATGCAATTTCCACATGTGAATACTACGTTGTGTTCCACTGTTCTGAGGTTGAGTACCCAGTCATATCGACTCCCTGTATTATAATTTGGGATGAAAGCTGGTCTCTGGGTAACAGATGCATTTTACTGGCAAATGCAAAAGTTAAGATGAGTCCTTCGCTTCATGTAACTTTTCTGTCCTCAACCCCCTTTACTTGAATTTGTGAAGGGGGCACTCTAGCTGTTGAAAAACCTTTCTAATAAGGTGGGCTGAAATTTAATGGAAATCTTGCATTACTGAAATACAAGCTCTGAAGTCAGTAGGATGTGTCTAACAAGTACCAAAGTATTAGAATAAGTTAGTGCATTGAAGTCCAGTTACACAGATAAAATATGGTTCTTGATTTAAAAGTAATATATGCTCCTCGTACCAAGTGTGAAATAAGGAAAAAAAAATCACCCCCATTATCATGTCATCCAGAGGGAACCTATGAACCATTTAATGCAGTTCCCTTCAATCATCTGTGTTTAATGGCTGCCTGTCTCAAAATGTGGAATAGTGCCTGATATGCCAGAAACTGAAATGATCTTGTCCATATACTACAAATATTATGTGTTTCATTTGACCAGAGTTTGTTTTGCTTTTGATTACTGTGAAACTTACTGAAGTTACAGCTGGAAGCAACGTTAACCCGTTTTGCGACTTACTCCCGCTTGGTACTTGATTTTTGGGGGGATGTTTTGTCTTTGACTTGGAGAATCTGCTCTTTAGACTTATCTACGTAAATATGAGAGCTTGCATTACTAAAGCTAATAGAATAATTCAGTGACATCGTTAGTTTTAATAGGTAAAACACAACCTAAAGGGCACTGGCCCTGGACTTAGGCACATCTGGAGCCCAGTCCTGGCTCTGCGATTTCAAACCTGTGCAGCCTTAAGCAAATCGCCCAACTCAAATCTCTATGATCCTTAATTTCCTCATCACTAAAATGACGGTAAAAACCCACATCATATGATTATTGTGAGATAAAAATATGAATATTCAAAGAAAATCACCAGATAAACTTGAGTCGTCACACAGTGTGACAGAATTCTTCTAAAAAATCAACGCTTATCATGCCATGTAAGTTTTTCTAAGTGAAAAAGCCATACTGTTAAAACGTTAAATGGTACCCAGCCTTTTATTTTTCCTACAAATGATACTGTGCTAAAAGACAAACCTAAAATGAAGAGTGTTCACTTTTTGAAGGGAAACTCTAGGGCTGATTCAGGTTGTTTGTTCTAGTTAAATCTATACCTTGGAAAATTACTGTCATTTTAATTTCCTTCCCATTGTTCTTTGAGTACTCAAAGTTCTTACAGCCACCTGATATTTCATTTTTGAGCAAGTGCTTCTAAAATTATGAAGGTGTCTTTTATCTCTACTTCTTAGAAATCAGTTTGCAGCTGGTAGTAATTTTAATTTGCCAAGCACCTCTTATGAGCAACAGACTTTCAATGCCCTTCTACCTATGTTATCTAATGGTTGCAAAAATTTGAATGAAGCAGGAATATGATTCCAGTTTCTACATGTTCTTCTATTTTTATTTTTGAGATGGCTGGAGTGCAGTGGCATGACCTTGGCTCACTGCGACCTCTGCCCTGTCCCCTTGGCTTGAGCAATTCTCCTGCCTCAGCCTCCCAAGTAGCTGGGATTACAGGTGGCTAATTTTTGTATTTTTAGTACAGATGGGATTTCACCATGTTGGCTAGGCTGGTCTTGAGCTTCTGACCTCGTGATCCACCAGCTTCAACCTCTCAAAGTGCTGGGATTACAGACATGAGCCACCATGCCCCGTTCTTTTGTCATGTTCATCCTGTCAATGTTTTATGTTCCTTTACCATGTTGACCTTCAGTTGACATTTTGTCATATTTTCAGAAATGATGCGGTTTCTCTGCTTATTATATATGTTACCTATCTAGATATAAGCTTTGTGAGAACAGAAGTCCTGTCTGAGTTTAGCTCATCTGTATCTCCAAAAGCTAGCACAGGGTAGGACTCAGCTCAGTCAGACACTTGCTGAAGAAATTGCAAGAATGGAAGCTCGCTTCTCCCACAACATCCCCTATTATTACCGGAAATTAACCCATTAGTCTCATCAGGAAATAAAATGCTAGAGCAATAGTTCTTGGCTGGGTGATTTTTTTGCTTCCCGAGGTGACATTTGGCAATATCTGGAGATACTTTTGGTTGTCACGATTGGGACACGCTAGCAGCATGCAATGGGCAGAGGCCAGGAAGGTTGCTAAACATCATATAATGCACAGGACAGCCCCAACCTACTCCACCTGCTGACAAAGAGTCACCAGATCCTAAATGTCAACAGTGCCAAGCTTGAGAAACTGCTAGAGAGAGTGAATGACGTCGGTTTGCTCGTTTTAAAGTTTTCATTTGGGTAATTTGAAATGATCTCAAACATACAGAAAAAGTTGCAAGAAAAATACAAAAAATGACCTTCACCCAGATTCTCCTGTTGATATAGTACCTTATTACATTATCCTTTTCTCCATATACATCTAATTCTTTTTTCTTTTTTTTTTTTGAGATGGAGTTTCGCTCTTGTTACCCAGGCTGGAGTGCAATGGCGCCATCTCGGCTCACCGCAACCTCCGCCTCCTGGGTTCAGGCAATTCTCCTGCCTCAGCCTCCTGAGTAGCTGGGATTACAGGCACGCGCCACCATGCCCAGCTAATTTTTTGTATTTTTAGTAGAGACGGGGTTTCACCATGTTGACCAGGATGGTCTCGATCTCTTGACCTCATGATTCACCCCCCTTGGCCTCCCAAAGTGCTGGGATTACAGGCTTGAGCCACCGCGCCCGGCCCTATTTTTTCTTCTTGAAGTACTTAAGGGCAAGTTACAGACATGATGTCCTGTTACCTCTATGTAAATCAGTGTGTACTTACACAGCACAGTTATCAAAATTACAATGACCCAATAACACCTTAGTCATATTTCACATATTATCCCAATTGTGTGTCAAGCAAGTGTTTTAATCCTGTTGGACTTGGGATGAGTCTGGAGCTGGAGTCCCTGGCTCTAATCCATCTCAATGTTACTTAATAAGAATTAAAGCTTTAGGCCAAGCACGGTGGCTCACACCTGGAATCTCAGCACTTTGGGAGGCCGAGGTGAGCAGATCCCCAAGGTCAGAAGTTTGAGAACGACTTGGTTAACATGGCGAAACCCCATCTCTACTAAAAACACAAAAAATTAGCTGGTCATGGTGGTGCATGACTGTAATCCCAGATACTCGAGGCTGAAGCAGGAGAATGACTTGAAACTGGGAGGTGGAGGTTGCAGTGAGATCACGCCATTGCACTCCAGCCGGGGTGACAGAGGTGGGACTCTGTCCCAAAAGAAACCTTTTAAATAAAATATCCTGGAACCTAACACTGATATTGAACTCCTGCAATTCACCACCATTGTTTGGTTGAGTTTGGCCATTGGATATCACTCTGAGTGATACCTTAGACATGGCGTCTGGACCTGTCTATCAGTGGAATTTTGTGCAGTGAGGATGGTACCATAACTCCTTCTGCCTTCCAGCTGGAGTGTCGCATCCTGCTCCAGCACCAGACACATCCCTGACAAATGCAAAGCTTTGCAATAATGGCTTCTATCAGGAACTAGTATCTCCCAAATTGAGGATTCTTCACTCAGCATTAACCTGAACAATAACAGAAATCCTTCAAAGGGCTTTTTAGGTTAAGTGCTCCCTAGTGACAGCGTAATCTGCCACTCTCTTTCTCTCTGCCTTGCTTCCATAATCTTTCTTGATATTTCAAATGAATTCTGCCTGCAATCCATGGACCAACTTTCAATAGTAAAGGTTTGTAAGTGAATATTCTTCATCAGATATTAGGTATTTGTTAGAAATTATTTAGGGCATAAGATTTCATAAGACTTACTGGATGTTGTTTTGTTACTTCCCTTTTTAATTTTCCTTTGATTCTGCTGCCGCACA